GTTCCATGTAGTGAATCTGTTATTCAATGTGTTTGTATGGGCTAATAGCAGTAAGGACTATCTGTTGTTCCATGTAGTGAATCTGTTATTCAATGTGTTTGTATGGGCTAATAGCAGTAAGGACTATCTGTTGTTCCATGTAGTGAATCTGTTATTCAATGTGTTTGTATGGGCTAATAGCAGTAAGGACTATCTGTTGTTCCATGTAGTGAATCTGTTATTCAATGCGTTTGTATGGGCTAATAGCAGTAAGGACTATCTGTTGTTCCATGTAGTGAATCTGTTATTCAATGTGTTTGTATGGGCTAATAGCAGTAAGGACTATCTGTTGTTCCATGTAGTGAATATGTTATTCAATGTGTTTGTATGGGCTAATAGCAGTAAGGACTATCTGTTGTTCCATGTAGTGAATCTGTTATTCAATGTGTTTGTATGGGCTAATAGCAGTAAGGACTTGCCTGTGTTCCATGTAGTGAATCTGTATTCAATGTGTTTGTATGGGCTAATAGCAGTAAGGACTATCTGTTGTTCCATGTAGTGAATCTGTTATTCAATGTGTTTGTATGGGCTAATAGCAGTAAGGACTATCTGTTGTTCCATGTAGTGAATATGTTATTCAATGTGTTTGTATGGGCTAATAGCAGTAAGGACTATCTGTTGTTCCATGTAGTGAATCTGTTATTCAATGTGTTTGTATGGGCTAATAGCAGTAAGGACTATCTGTTGTTCCATGTAGTGGAATCTGTTATTCAATGTGTTTTGTATGGGCTAATAGCAGTAAGGACTATCTGTGTTCCATGTAGTGAATCTGTTATTCAATGTGTTTGTATGGGCTAATAGCAGTAAGGACTGTCTGTTGTTCCATGTAGTGAATCTGTTATTCAATGCGTTTGTATGGGCTAATAGCAGTAAGGCCAAATAAAATGTTTAATATGTTTGTTTTATATATAGATATATATATATATATTTTTTATACTTCAAGGGGTCTTAAAATTCAAGATCAAATAGCTAAAATGATCCTTGGTATGACCTTCTTAAAACAATTCCATATAGCTTAGTAGAACCCCTTCCCCGGTTTAGACTCTGGAGAAGAAAACGTTTAAAGTAGTTAACATCATTGGAAATGGTCCAAAATACATCAAAAGCATAGTGCATGACCTGGTTGATTTTGAGTTCTGATATTTGCCAAGCGTGGTAAGGAGTTCAGAAGTCGCTCCTCCTGAGGCGATGTGTCCAATCTGATGGTGGGCCCACAGCTTGAACTCCGGCAACGCTGCTTGCAGCTGTAATGAGGGGTTCATGCGGTGAAACCCTATTGTAGATAGATATTGTTGCCGTTCATTTTTATTATTATTATGTTTATTTTTTCAAGTTGGTGGCGGTAATGCACCATTAACGTTGGTTGTCAACAGCCAAAAAGAAGAAGAACATTTTCTAACCACACACAGTCTGAGACTAAAAGAAAATACAAAATAACAACAAAATTAACACTTCTAAATCATCATTCAGCTTTGTGCACCTGTGAGCAAGGTAGGCTAACCATGGGAAGTCATACCAAAAATGAAGTGTTAAGCTTCAGTAATGATTTAAGATCAAATAAAGTTCTGTGTGTTGCCATTTAGGGAGTGTTATGTTTTACTGCTGTGTACTGTGTAGCTAACATGCTAACGGTAGCTAACTAGCTAGGTAATAACTAGCTATAGCAAGTTAGCTAGCTAGCTAACATCAGTTAACACGGTCGATTGTGCCTGGGTGGTTGTGCAAATTATAAAATGATGCTAACGTTAGCGTCAGAGGACATAATACTGTAGCTTAGATAGGCTACGGACCAAGTCCCCTGAGTCAGGGATAGGCTACTCTGAGGCTGAGGTGTTGTCCAGCTTGAACCCCGGCAATACTGCTGGCAGCTTTAATTATTATTATTATTAAAAAAAAAAAAATATAAAAATATATATTTATTTGGTTTTTAATAGCTAAATGAGTATAGATTAAGTTACATCTATTTTGTTCTGTTTTGTTCTCCTGACCCATGAGGAGGACTTCAATGGATTGCGAGCTGGCAGTGATTAATTCATCACTCAGTCTGAGGATTCCTCTGAAGTTTTGTGCAGGCTATCATCATTGAGTGAGTGGGAACTTAAGAACAAACTCGTACAAGACTAGTACAAGCTACGGAGAACTCGCAGTCAGAAGGGGGATTGGGGCCCACGCCTTCCGGAGTGTGTGGGTATGTGGCCCACGCCTTCCGGAGTGTGTGGGGGTGTAGGCCACGCCAGTGAGAGCTTTGAGTCGAGGTCATCCTCCATACTAGAGGGTGTAAGTCTGGACCCTGAGTCAGTCGCACGATCTACTACAGTGACTCAGTCATATTTATAGTGTGCTTAAGCCTCTCTCCCTCTCTCTGTCCCTCACTGTCTCTCTCACGGTCTCTCTCTGTCCCTCACTGTCTCTCTCACGGTCTCTCTCTGTCCCTCACTGTCTCTCTCACGGTCTCTCTCTGTCCCTCACTGTCTCTCTCACGGTCTCTCTTTCTTCTCTCTCTTCTCTCTCTTCTTTCTCAGAGAGTATTCTGAGCTACAGCATCAGAGAGGTCAAAGGTCACACAGTCTTTAAATGAGGACGAAGTAAAAGAGACAAAAAGTTGGAATCACAAAATCAGTAAATCGATCAATATATTATATTTGGATGTACAGTACATTTGACAGGGAAGGAGTGTCTGAGCTCCACAGAGTTTAAAACCACGTCTCCCAGAGGTGTGGATCTTAGTTAAAACCAGAGGTGGTATCGTAGTTAAAACCAGAGGTGTGGATCTTAGTTAAACCAGAGGTGTGGATCTTAGTTAAACCAGAGGTGTGGATCTTAGTTAAACCAGAGGTGTGTATCTTAGTTAAACCAGAGGTGTGTATCTTAGTTAAACCAGAGTTGGATATTAGTTAAACCAGAGGTGGATCTTAGTTAAACCAGAGGTGTGATCTTAGTTAAACCAGAGGTGGATTTAGTTAAACCAGAGGTGTGGATATTAGTTAAAACCAGAGGTGTGTATCTTAGTTAAACCAGAGGTGTGATATTAGTTAAACCAGAGGTGTGGATCTTAGTTAAACCAGAGGTGGATCTTAGTTAAACCAGAGGTGTGGATATTAGTTAAACCAGAGGTGGATATTAGTTAAACCAGAGGTGGATATTAGTTTAAACCAGAGGTGGATATTAGTTAAACCAGAGGTGGATATTAGTTAAACCAGAGGTGGATATTAGTTAAACCAGAGGTGTGGATATTAGTTAAACCAGAGGTGGATATTAGTTAAACCAGAGGTGGATATTAGTTAAACCAGAGGTGGATATTAGTTAAACCAGAGGTGGATATTAGTTAAACCAGAGGTGGATCTAGTTAACCAGAGGTGGATTAGTTAAACCAGAGTGTGGATATTAGTTAAACCAGAGGTGTGGATATTAGTTAAACCAGAGGTGGATATTAGTTAAACCAGAGGTGGATATTAGTTAAACCAGAGGTGGATATTAGTTAAACCAGAGGTGTGGATATTAGTTAAACCAGAGGTGTGGATATTAGTTAAACCAGAGGTGTGGATATTAGTTAACCAGAGTGGATATTAGTTAACCAGAGGTGTGGATATTAGTTAAACCAGAGGTTGGATATTAGTTAAACCAGAGGTGGAATTAGTTACCGAGGTGATTTAGTTTAAACCAGAGGTGATATTAGTTAAACCAGAGGTGTGGATATTAGTTAAACCAGAGGTGTGGATATTAGTTAAACCAGAGGTGTGGATATTAGTTAAACCAGAGGTGTGGATATTAGTTAAACCAGAGGTGGATATTAGTTAAACCAGAGGTGTGGATATTAGTTAAACCAGAGGTGTATATTAGTTAAACCAGAGGTGTGGATATTAGTTAAACCAGTGTAGTGTGGATATTAGTTAAACCAGAGTGTGGATATTAGTTAAACCAGAGTGTGGATATTAGTTAAACCAGAGGTGGATATTAGTTAAACCAGAGGTGGATATTAGTTAAACCAGAGGTGTGGATATTAGTTAAACCAGAGGTGATATTAGTTAAACCAGAGTTGTGGATATTAGTTAAACCAGAGGTGTGGATATTAGTTAAACCAGAGGTGTGGATATTAGTTAAACCAGAGGTGTGATATTAGTTAAACCAGAGGTGGATATTAATTAAACCAGAGGTGGATATTAGTTAAACCAGAGGTGGATATTAGTTAAACCAGAGGTGGATATTAGTTAAACCAGAGGTGTGGATATTAGTTATCTTAGAGCACCACTTGGAGGGTTTAATTACAATAAAGGCACTTTTACATGATAAAAGCAATGAAACACAACTTCTGTTTAAAATATTGTAGAAAATCTATATCGATGACAGCACTGTCAGGGTGTTTAGGCAGAGCTACCTACCTATCTACCTACTGTCAGGGTGTTTAGGCAGTAGACTGAGTAGAAATCTTAGATATTGCTGCTTGTGAATATTACAGTAGATAGATATTGCTGCTTGTAAATATTACAGTAGATAGATATTGCTGCTTGTGAATATTACAGTAGATAGATATTGTTGCTTGTAAATATTACAGTAGATAGATATTGCTGCTTGTAAATATTACAGTAGATAGATATGCTGCTTGTAAATATTACAGTAGATAGATATTGCTGCTTGTAAATATTACAGTAGATAGATATTGCTGCTTGTAAATATTACAGTAGATAGATATTGCTGCTTGTAAATATTACAGTAGATAGATATTGCTGCTTGTAAATATTACAGTAGGTAGATATTGCTGCTTGTAAATATTACAGTAGGTAGATATTGCTGCTCAATAGATTTTATTGCTATGAAGAACTTCTAAATATACCTTGTCTATTAACTGTAGCTCGCCATCTCCATGACGACACAGTAGCCTCGCCATCTCCATGACGACACGGAGGAAACCATGACTCGTAAAGACATTTGGGACTTTGACAGACACTGCCACCCTCCAATCACTACTCTGCTTTCTCCTTGCTGGGGTCCACCACCGGCTGAATGGGGGCTGTGGACGTGACCACAGTGGGTGTGGTGGGGGTGGGGGGAGGGACGGGGGCGGGGGGAGGGATGGGGTCGGGGTCGTCGATCAGAACCTGTCTTCTCTCTCTCTCCTTGATGAGCTGGACCAGACAGTAGGTCACTATGAGGACAGTGATGGTGGTGATGGGGAAGCCTGGAGGGGAAGGAACAAGTCAACATGGTATACTAATAACTATATTTATACAACGGGTGGGTCTAATCCTGAATCCTATTGGTTATAACCTTATTCCAGCCGGTGTTTATTCCACAAGTTACCACCAGCTAAATCTATGACGTAAAAATGCCTATAATAATAATATGCCATTTAGCAGACGCTTTTATCCAAAGCGACTTACAGTCATGCGTGCATACATTTTTGTGTATGGGTGGTCCCGGGGTTCGAACCCACTACCTTGGCGTTACAAGTGCCGTGCTCTACCAGCTGAGCTACAGAGGACCACCTATTTACTCTGTTGCATCTGACTGCCCAATCCACTGTCCCATCAGCCCAGCCAGGCAATTTATAAACTTGATCTCCACTATAAAAAGCATCTAGACATTTCTTTTAGACTAACATTTAGTTTTCAACAGCGGAGATTTGTATAGACCTTTCTGTCTGTTTTCCGACTTTTGCAACATTGTTTCAATATTCAACTTCGATCTCCAGCTGTCCCATAGTAATGAACGTGTTGGAGTCGGGACGAGACGGACAGACAGCGTTTCTCAGCCAGTCGAAATCATGAATCATCTGGCATAATTTTTATGGATATATCCAAATAAATGTCAATAGAAAACAGCTTAAACAAATGCAAATGTGGCTACTTTGATGTTATTCAGGCTGCACTTTTTGACGTAACTGTAAGTTAGCCGTAGTTGGCTAGCAAGCAAGGGATAAGAACGTTGCCAGCCAGTATGGCAATGGAACATTTAGAACGAACGACTGGGTCGTGTCCATAGATACAGAACAAAAAGACTGAAGGACTGGGTCGCGTCTCTGGCAACCAAACCGATAGAACAAACAACCAGCCGGCTTAGGTAGCAACCCTAGATTTGTGTTGGGACTATATCTTGTGGAAGGATGAAATAGTATGAATACATTCCTCAAAATAACGTTTTTAATGAAAATATGTCAATCATCATTTGAATATGTTGGTAACCCGTTGTATAAAAGTGATAATGCCCTCGAAGCCGTTGTTTGGAGGATATATTGGCACGGTTTGCCAGCCCTCGACTTCATCTCGGACCTAACAACACCTGTGCCAATATATCCAAACAACAGCTTCTCTGGCATTATCACTTATATCAAGGAACATACTAGTTATCAACACAGAGATGGTAGGATGGGAGGCCTTGAGGGGGAGGAACCAGTCATAGTGTGTCTACTGTTACTCAAGGTTACTATATAACATAGTATAGTGTGATCATAGTATGCTAGTACCACACCAAAGCAGTTGTGCATATTCAATATCATGTTCAGTATGAGTATCGCACATTCTTCAAAATCGAGATCAAGAGGCAGATCAGAAGGAAACCTAACTATCTGTTACCTTTGAGCAGCAGTCTCTTGGCGACCAGCTTAGTGAACTCCAGGCTGTTGAGAGCGATGACGTTGTATAGGATGATGGTCCAGAAGTTAAAGGTGTTGAACACAGCTCTGATCCTACGAGACATAGCAGGAGACATTGCCATCTGAGAGAGAGAGAGAGAGGGGACCATTAATGTTTACTGTTAATATTTATTGTTTATTTCACTTTTGTTTACGATCTACTTCACTTGCTTTGGCAATGTTAACATACGTTTCCCATGCCGATAAAGCCCTTAAATTGAATTGAAATTGAATTGAGAGAGAGAGAGATGTTGAGCAGAGCTCTGATCATACGAGACACAGCAGGAGACATCGCCATCTAGAGGAGGGATGGTGTTAAAGTGATTTTGTCAATGAGGCCCCTTTATCTACTTCCCTAGCGTCAGATGAACTCGTGGTGGATACCATTTTTATGTCTCTGTGTCCAGTATGAAGGAAGTTAGAGGTTGTTTGCGAGCCAATGCTAACCAGCGTCAGCGCAATGACTGGAAGTCTATAGGTATCAACTAGCATACGCTCTCTTACCTCTAGAGAAGCAAAAGGTTCCATGCAGAAGAACTTGGCGGTCCAGAGTTCAAAGTTGAGTCCGAAGCAGTTGAAGAAGGCCCAGATTAACACCACCTGACAGGGTCCCAGCCACAGGACAGTGATGCCAAAAGTACACAGCGTAGCAATGGCCTCGTCCCACAAGTTGTCATGCTTCCCTCCCAGGTAATCATACACATACCTGGAGACGTAGATACAGACACGGTTATGAGATTACAGCTCTGATGTTTATAATATAATATAAATATAATAATATGCCATTTAGCAGACGCTTTTATCCAAAGTGACTTACAGTCATGCGTGCATAAATTTTTACATATGGGTGGTCCCGGGGATCGAACCCACTACCCTGGCGTTACAAGCGCCGTGCTCTACCAGCTGAGCTACAGAGGACCACAGGACCATGTTTGGTATGAATGAAGTGACATGCTGGTGACTTACTTGCACAGCCAGTCGTTTATTCCTCTGTCAAAGTGCCTATAAGGGAGAAAAATAACAAATTACTTCATTTGTGAAAACACAAAGATGTTGAGAAGTGAGAAGGTCTGACAGGTCTGTTGACGTACGTCTCAGAGAAGACGTAGAGCATTGTGATACATTTAGGAGGTTGAGGAGGGTCCAGATGGTCCAGTCTAGACACAGTGTTGATCACCCCAAACATCACCGCTGCCTTCACCCAGTCATACACCAGGCTATAGTAGGCCAGACCAACTACAGGAGACAGAGAGAGAGACCAGTCATACACCAGGTTATAGAAGGCCAGACCAACTACAGGAGACAGACAGACATGTTAATATTACAGACCTACAGCCCAGTCAGACATGTGTTTGAGCAGCTTCATGTCCGTGGGGATGCTCAGGATGTACAGGAAGTGGAAGAGGATGTCCACCGTTAATATGGCCCCCAGTTGAACGAGACCCTGCAGAGATATGTTCCATATCGCCCCCTCCTTACGGGTCAAGTCAGCCTTGTTGACCTGGAGGAGACACGCACACACGCACGCACACACACACACACACACACACACACACACACACACGTGCACACAACACACACACACACACACACACACACACACACACACACACACACACACGTGCACAGGTAAGATGAGCCTGTCGATGGCAGGAGACACCAACACTGTCAGTCACTGATGCTCTCTGCATTTTGCATTTGATATTATGTGTGCATTTACATAATATGTACCTGAACATAGAACTGAGTCTATAGGTTACATGTTGTGTACCTGAACATATAACTTGTTGAAGGTCATGATGTTTACCTGAACATAGAACTTGTCGAAGGTCATGATGTTTACCTGAACACAGAACTTGTCGAAGGTCATGATGTTTACCTGAGCGTAGAACTTGTTGAAGGTCATGATGTTTACCTGAGCGTATAACTTGTTGAAGGTCATGAAATGTACCTGAGCGTAGAACTTGTCGAAGGTCATGATGTTTACCTGAGCGTAGAACTTGTCGAAGGTCATGATGTTTACCTGAGCGTAGAACTTGTCGAAGGTCATGATGTTTACCTGAGCGTATAACTTGTTTGAAGGCATGAGTTTACCTGAGCGTAGAACTTGTCGAAGGTCATGATGTTTACCTGAGCGTAGAACTTGTCGAAGGTCATGATGTTTACCTGAGCGTAGAACTTGTCGAAGGTCATGATGTTTACCTGAGCGTAGAACTTGTTGAAGGTCATGATGTTTACCTGAGCGTAGAACTTGTCGAAAGTCATGATGTTTACCTGAACGTAGAACTTGTCGAAGGTCATGATGTTTACCTGAGCGTAGAACTTGTTGAAGGTCATGATAATTACCTGAACATAGAACTTGTCGAAGGTCATGATGGGTCCGAAGTAGAAGAAAGGCAGGTAGAAGTTGTACTTGAGGAGTTCCAGGATGCTGTAGTTTCCTTCTTTCTTCTCACAGTTCTCCAGAGCAAAACTCATACAGCGCATGATGGTGAACCCACAGCCACCGTAGAACAGGAAGGAGCGCAGCTCAAAACCCCCCGTCATAAAACCAGCCTGGTGGAGAGGGAGAGGAAGAGGAGAGGAAGAGGAGGGTTAGAGGAGAGGTGGGAGAGGAAGAGGAGGGTTAGAGGAGAGATGGGAGAGGAAGAGGAGGGTTAGAGGAGAGGAGGGAGAGGAAAGAGATGAAGAGGAGGGTTAGAGGAGAGGAGGGAGAGGAAGAGGGAGGGTTAGGGGAGGTGGGAGAAGGAAGAGGAGGGTTAGAGGAGAGGGGGGAGAGGAAGAGGAGGGTTAGAGGAGAGGTGGGAGAGGAAGAGGAGGGTTAGAGGGGAGGAGGGAGAGAAGAAGAGGGGGTTAGAGGGGGGAGGGAGAGGGAAAAGGAAAGAGGAGGGTTAGAGGGGAGGAGGGAGAGAGAGGAGGTTAGGGAGAGGAGGAGAGGAAGAGGAGAGGAGGGTTAGAGGAGGGGAGGGGGGAGAGGAGGTAGAGGGGAGGAGGGAGGAAAGAGGAAGAGGAGGGGAGAGGGGAGGAGGGAGGGGAAAGGGAAGAGGAGGGTAGAGGGGAGAGGGAAGGAAAGGGAGGGGAGAGGGGAGGAGGGAGAGGAAGAGGAGGGTAGAGGGGAGGGGGAGAGCGAAGGGGAAAAAGAGGGAAAGGGGGGAGAGGGGAGGGGAGGAGAGAGGAAAGAAGAGAGGGGAGGGGGGGGAGGGAGGAGGAGAGGAGAGGGTTAGAGGGGAGGGGGAGAGGAAGAGGGGGGTAGAGGGGAGGAGGGAGAGGAAAAGAGGAGAGGGGGTTGAGGGGGGGAGGGGAGGAAGAGGGTTAGAGGGGAGGGAGGGAGGAGGAGGGTTAGAGGGGAGGAGGGGGAAGAGGAGGGGGAGGGGTGGGAGAGGAAGAGGGGTAGAGGGACGGAGGGGAGGAAGGGAGGGTTGAGGGGAGGAGGGAGAGGAGGGGAAAAGGGAGGGGTAGAGGGAGGAGGGAGAGGAAGAGGAGAGGAGGGAGAGGCGAGGGGGAGGGAAGAGGAAGAGGAGGGTTAGAGGGGAGGAGGGGGAAGAGGAAGAGGAGGGGTTAGAGAGGGGAGGAGGGAGGAGGTTAGAGGGAGAGAGTAGAGGGAGGAGGGAAGGAAAGAGGAAGAGGAGGGTTAGAGGGGAGGAGGGAGAGGAAGAAGGGAGGGTTAGAGGGGAGGAGGGAGAGGAAAGAGGAAGAGGAGGGTTAGAGGGGAGGAGGGAGAGGAAAGAGGAAGAGGAGGGTTAGAGGGGAGGAGGGGAGAGGAAGAGGGAGAGGAGGGTTAGAGGGGAGGAGGGAGCGGAAGAGGAAGCGGAGGGTTGAGGGGGGGGGAGGGAGGGAACGAGGAGAGGAGGGTTAGAGGGGAGGAGGGAGAGGAAGAGGAGGGTTAGAGGAGGGAGAGGAAAGAGATTTAAGGTAAAAAAGTATTTAGTCAGCCACCAATTGTGCAAGTTCTCCCACTTAAAAAGATGAGAGAGGCCTGTAATCTTCATCATAGGTACACGTCAACTATGACAGACAAAATGAGAAAAGAAAAATCCTGAAAATCACATTGTAGGATTTTTAATGAATTTATTTGCAAATTATGGTGGAAAATAAGTATTTGGTCAATAACAAAAGTTTCTCAATACTTTGTTATATACCCTTTGTTGGCAATGACACAGGTCAAACGTTTTCTGTAAGTCTTCACAAGGTTTTCACACACTGTTGCTGGTATTTTGGCCCATTCCTCCATGCAGATTTCCTCTAGAGCAGTGATGTTTTGGGGCTGTCGCTGGGCAACACAGACTTTCAACTCCCTCCAAAGATTTTCTATGGGGTTGAGATCTGGAGACTGGCTAGGCCACTCCAGGACCTTGAAATGCTTCTTACGAAGCCACTCCTTCGTTGCCCGGGCGGTGTGTTTGGGATCATTGTCATGCTGAAAGACCCAGCCACGTTTCATCTTCAATGCCCTTGCTGATGGAAGGAGGTTTTCACTCAAAATCTCACGATACATGGCCCCATTCATTCTTTCCTTTACACGGATCAGTCGTCCTGGTCCCTTTGCAGAAAAACAGACCCAAAGCATGATGTTTCCACCCCCATGCTTCACAGTAGGTATGGTGTTCTTTGGATGCAACTCAGCATTCTTTGTCCTCCAAACACGACGAGTTGAGTTTTTACCAAAAAGTTCTATTTTGGTTTCATCTGACCATATGACATTCTCCCAATCCTCTTCTGGATCATCCAAATGCACTCTAGCAAACTTCAGACGGGCCTGGACATGTACTGGCTTAAGCAGGGGGACACGTCTGGCACTGCAGGATTTGAGTCCCTGGCGGCGTAGTGTGTTACTGATGGTAGGCTTTGTTACTTTGGTCCCAGCTCTCTGCAGGTCATTCACTAGGTCCCCCCGTGTGGTTCTGGGATTTTTGCTCACCGTTCTTGTGATCATTTTGACCCCACGGGGTGAGATCTTGCGTGGAGCCCCAGATCGAGGGGGATTATCAGTGGTCTTGTATGTCTTCCATTTCCTAATAATTGCTCCCACAGTTGATTTCTTCAAACCAAGCTGCTTACCTATTGCAGATTCAGTCTTCCCAGCCTGGTGCAGGTCTACAATTTTGTTTCTGGTGTCCTTTGACAGCTCTTTGGTCTTGGCCATAGTGGAGTTTGGAGGGTGACTGTTTGAGGTTGTGGACAGGTGTCTTTTATACTGATAACAAGTTCAAACAGGTGCCATTAATACAGGTAACGAGTGGAGGACAGAGGAGCCTCTTAAAGAAGAAGTTACAGGTCTGTGAGAGCCAGAAATCTTGCTTGTTTGTAGGTGACCAAATACTTATTTTCCACCATAATTGTGTCCTTCAAACTTTGCTTTCGTCAAAGAATCCTCCATTTGCAGCAATTACAGCCTTGCAGACCTTTGGCATTCTAGTTGTCAATTTGTTGAGGTAATTCGCAGTGCTAGCTGTGCCACTAGAGATCCTGGTTCGAATCCAGGCTCTGTCGTAGCCGGCCACGACCGGGAGACCCATGGGGCGGCGCGCAATTGGCCCAGCGTCGTCCAGGGTAGGGGAGGGAATGGCCGGCAGGGATGTAGCTCAGTAGATAGAGCATGGTGTTTGCAACGCCTGGGTTGTGGGTTCGTTTCCCACAGGGGGTATGAAAAAAATAAAAAAAAAAATATGTATGCACTAACTGTAAGTCGCTCTGGATAAGAGCGTCTGCTAAATGACTAAAATGTAAATGTAAAATGTAATCTGAAGAGATTTCATCCCATGCTTCCTGAAGCATCTCCCACAAGTTGGATTGGCTTGATGGGCACTTCTTACGTACCATACGGTCAAGCTGCTCCCACAACAGCTCAATAGGGTTGAGATCCAGTGACTGTGCTGGCCACTCCATTATAGACAGAATACCAGCTGACTGCTTCTTCCCTAAATAGTTATTGCCTAGTTTGGATGTCACGCCCTGGCTCTGGGGACTCTTATATGTTGAGCCAGGGTGTGTAGGGTCTATGTTTTGTGTTCTATGTTCAGTTTCTAGTTCATGTGTTTTCTAGGTTGGCCGGGGTGGTTCTCAATCAGAGGCAACGAGAATCAGCTGTTGCTTGTTGTCTCTGATTGGGAACCATACTTAGGCAGCCTGTTGTGCACTTGTGTTTTGTGGGATCTTGTTCCGTGTTGGTTTGTGTTCATGACCGAGGACTTCACGTTTCGCTTTGTTGTTTTGTATTTTGTATCGTGTTGCTAGTACACTATTAAAGAGATGTACACATATCACGCTGCGCCTTGGTCCAATCATTATGACGATCGTGACAGAAGATCCCACCAATACAGGACCAAGCAGCGTGTCCAGGAGCAAACGCCGGAGGTAACGTTAGTGGATGTCCTCCTCGGTTGGGGGCAGATCACGGAGGAGGAGGCCGTCCGTTACCGGAGGGCGATGAAGGGGGAGACCCAGGCAGGAGAGGAGAAGCGGCGCCAACCGGGCCGTCGTCAGACAGGCGAGAGGCACCCCCAATAATTTTTTTGGGGGGGGCACACGGCATGGACGACGGGGCTGCTGGAGGCAGATAAAGGGCGAGTTTGTGGACGAGGAGAGAAGGCCACCAGGTTACGGGGGCCATTGGTCAGTAGAGGGAAGGAGAGTGTAGAGGCACGGCGAGAGGTACTGAGGTGTGTTACCAGTCCTGTCCGGCCCGTTCCTGATCCCCACACAAGGCCAGTGGTGTGTGTTCCCAGTACGGTCCGGCCTGTTCCTGTCCCTCGCACCAAGCCTGTAATGCGCGTCGCCAGCCCGGCCCGGCTTGTTCCTGCCCCTCGCACCAAGCCAATGGTGCGCATCGCCAGCCCGGCCCGGCCTGTTCCTGCTCCCCGCACCAAGCCTGTGGTGCGCGTCGCCAGCCCGGCCCGGCCTGTTCCTGCCCCTCGCACCAAGCCAATGGTGCGCGTCGCCAGCCCGGCCCGGCCTGTTCCTGCTCCCCGCACCAAGCCTATGGTGCGCGTCGCCAGCCCGGCCCGGCCTGTTCCTGCTCCCCGCACCAAGCCAGTGGTGCGCTTCGTCAGCCCGGTCAGGCCCATTCCTGCTCCCCGCACCAAGCCAATGGTGCGCGTCACCGGCCCAGCCTGTTCCTGCTCCCCGCACCAAGCCTATGGTGCGCGTCGTCAGCCCGGCCCGGCCTGTTCCTGCTCCCCGCACCAAGCCAGTGGTGCGCGTCGTCAGCCCGGCCCGGCCTGTTCCTGCTCCCCGCACCAAGCCAGTGGTGCGCTTCGTCAGCCCGGTCCAGCCCATTCCTGCTCCCCGCACCAAGCCTGTGGTGCGCGTCGCCAGCCCGGTCCGGCCCGTCCCTGCTCCCCGCACCAAGCCTGTGGTGCGCGTCGTCAGTCCGGCCCGGCCTGTTCCTGCCCCTCGCACCAAGCCAATGGTGCGCGTCGCCAGCCCGGCCCGGCCTGTTCCTGCTCCCCGCACCAAGCCTATGGTGCGCGTCGCCAGCCCGGCCCGGCCTGTTCCTGCTCCCCGCACCAAGCCAGTGGTGCGCTTCGTCAGCCCGGTCCGGCCCATTCCTGCTCCCC